GCTGACTTCTACTCGGAATAATCCTTAAAGCAGGCAGTTATTTACAGTGATAGTCAGCCGCCATCCGGGCAGTGATTGGCCGAGGTAAGCTCGAGAGTACATCAGTGAGGAACGCCCGCAGGGCGGTTGAACGCGCTGCTGTGTCATGCGATCTAGTAGTTCAGTGGACAAGAGCTCATGCGGGTATCAGTGGTAATGAAATCGCAGACACCCTGGCGAGATTAGGCGGAAAGAGAAAGGATATAACAAACGTTGGCATTCCTGAGTCGTACACTGTCCATCAGGTCAAAGCGAAATTCAGAGAAGAAGAAGAATGGCGATGGCGCAAAGATCGTCAGCTGACACACATAAAGAAGACAGGCGTGATGCTCGACCGCAGCCAATGCAGTCGCCTTCGCACGGTGGCTGTGTCAATGAATGATCGCAGGCTTATCTCCGAAGCCTTGACGGGACATGGCTGTCTGAGGGCCCATGTATCCCGATGGGACGGTGGGATGCCGGAATGTCGCTATTGTGGCATGAGCAGGGAGACTTCTATACACCTACATCAGTGCTCTCGCTGGCGGAGGTGGAGAGAGACCTGTCTGGGTAAAGATGCCCTGGACAACCCTTATGATATGACCCGACTGTTGGCATCAAACCGCAGTGTTCGCAAATGGTTGAAGTACATGAGAAAGATCTGGCCGACATCCCGCTAGGGATATCAAGATATAAAATATTCTACTGCTGGCAGCTGGGGGTCTCTGGGGGGACCCTCCTATTTATCGAACTTTCTGCCGTGTAACACACTATCTACCGGTTCATACCAGGGCTCAGACAGTGACTGAGCCTGCAGCTATACCTCTATACTGGCTATTACTCGCCTGGTCGAAGGGGTGCTGCGCAAGAAGAAGAAGAAGAATATCGATGCCTGAGAATCGGTAAAGACACGCCATTGCTTACCTTTGTGCTCTGAGAAGGCGATCCATCTCAAAGCGCGACGAATCGCTTCCAGTTCACATTGGTGTATGGTTGCATATCGAGGCAGCCGAAATGACTGTTTCTCAACAGCAGAGCCATCAATAATCGCTATAAAAGCGCCGCCAGCGCCGTCGCCATGCTTCGAGCAGTCGGTGAAGATGGCCGGGGCCTCATATTCCACTGCCTCCTTCAGCGCCTCCTTCCTTGGACGAATAGTCGTAGGGAGGGGAGGGATCCAAGGAGGAAGGGGATGGGGCGTCCTCTTCTCGACAAGCCAGCCTCCTTCAACTAGACCGATGCCAGGAGCCTTCCTCAAAGCCTCGTTGTCTCCTATGGCAGCCGATCTTCTAGCTCCTAGGGTCTGCACCATGATACTGGCCGGCACGATGCCTGCCATCATGGTGACTGCTGCTGTAGAGGCCGTCCTCGGTGCTCTTATGGCGACTCTGGCTACAAAGCTAGAAAGATTATCTACGATCTTACTAAGATTAGGTGAGCCCGAAAGGACAGGAGCCCAAATGGAGCCGCATGGGCAAGGAAAGTAGAACTGCTTGGTGCCATGTGCGGATAATCCGACGATGGTC